TTTGGAGTTGTTCTAAACTCTTCTATTTCCTTTCCCCAACACCCAGTTGGTCACCAAGTCCCAGGGCCTCTGATGTTTATTGCTCCATGCTCTGGAGCAATGCCCCACCTCCTTGCAGCCCCCCTCCTCCACCCCAGCATCAAGCCACAGTGGCCATGGCACATCTTCTCTTGAATCCCTGCTCCAAGCCAGGCTAAAGTTGAAGTGCCTCGGGCCCAGTCACTCCAGGGTCATATCCCCACCGGTGTTTCCTTCCTCATCCCTCCACGCTTCCTGTCCACATGCCCTCTGCTTGGCTCCAGCCACACCCACACCCCAGCCAGCTCCCTCCTGCTTCCCTGCCTTTGTCCATGATAGTCCTTCCTTGGGAGTGCTTTCCCCCCCATTCCCCCTCCTGCCCACACCCCATCCATGAAGCCCTTAACGACTTAAGGCCACCTCCTCCTGGGAGCCTTCCTCTGCTTCTCCAGCCTTGCTTGCTCCTTCTCTGGGATCTCACGCTAGAGTCAGGATTGGTGAGACCCAGCCCCCTCAAGGGAAGGAGCTAGGCTTGCCTCTAGATCCCAAGGCGCCACCGCCACTCCCCCATTTCCTCATGTGTTAGCGCTCCCACTAAACATTTGTGAATGAAGAAAGGTGCTTGGGTTGGGAGGGGAGTTTAGAGTATAAGGAAGGTCCGTAGTGAAGGAACCCTCCACCCCATGTTGGGCTTTACTGCCTGAAACCCCAGAAAAAGAGCATGCCAGGAAGACAGTAGCTTTGGGGGTGGATGGTGGGATGCAGGGAGTGAGATGCGGGAGTCAGGGGCTGGGGAGCCAGGATGGAGAGCACGGAGGGGAGGAAGAGGTACTAGAGAAGATGAATGGGGAGGGCTGGGACAGGATGGGGGTGCGGGTCAAGGTGCAGGAAGAGGTGGGAAGGGCAGCAGGGTGGGGGCAGAGCACACTTTCTGGGAAGTGGGGGAGGTGAGTGCCGTGCATTGTGGAGGGAGAAACGGCCTGCCGGCCAGTGTGAGCTCATTTCCTCTCACCGCCTCCTGCAGTGTCTGAGGGTATCAGGCTCTGGAAAAAGTGAGCCAGGGGCACCCCAGGGGCCACCACGCTCCTCCCCTCCCCCACAGCCTCAGTTCAGTCTGGATCTCAGATGCCAGGGCTTCCCCCCTTTATGTGGACAACCCATTTGTTTAGAGAGGAACGGTCCCCTGAGCCAGGGTGGCAGCAAGCTTGGGGCCACTGGAGCTACAGGGCGGAAAGAATCAGAAACAGGAACCCGGGTGAAGATGAAGCAAAAAAAAATACAGTGTGATGGGTGACAGTCAGATAGTAGGAAGGAGCAGGGGGGTGTGGTGGATAATTCTGGCCGCAGGTGACCTCGATGAAGAGCGTGGGGGAAGGGAGAGGAGTCATGACTGCCCCCTGTCATTAGAAGAGCACCCGTTCCACTGACTTCTAAGGCAGTGGTTCTCAACCTTCCTAATGCCGCGGCCCTTTAATGCAGTTCCTCATGTTGTGGTGACCCCCAATTTCATTGTTACAAATTGAACTTCATTAAAGCATCGTGATGAATCACAAAAACAATAGGTAATTATATATGTGTTTTCTGATGGTCTTAGGCGACCCCTGTCACAGGTTGAGAGCCGCCGATCTAGGGGATTTAAAATAAATTAAATGGAACATAAGATTTAAAAGCAAGTCAGTGTCTCCTCCCTCAGGTTCACAGGAGCAGGGATGGCCTTGATCCCCATCAGAGGTGAAGGGCTGGGGGGCTTGGGGCTGATCCGCGCTCAGGAGTCAAGGCAGAGGCTGTATGAGTCTTGCCCCAGAGGAGTGGGTGATCCCAAAGGACGCAGAGTTGGCCTTCCCACTCTCCTCGCCGCCTCATCCAAGTCATATTCCCGTCTATTGGTGGGCTCTCCCTTCCTTTCTTCATAGTCTGTAAATGGCAAGCGGGCATGGGGAAGAGGTGAGCATGGGCTGGAGGAAGTGGGAGGTAGGAAGGATGCTTGACAGCAGAAATGAGGGACCGAGGGGCTGGGCCCTCCTGGGTGGGCTAGAGGGGTGCTGCTTGGGGGGCAGAAGCAGGAGGAACTGGCTCAGGACCCGTGGCTCTCCAGGCCCAACTCAGAGCAAAGCAGGGTCGCTGGTGCCTGGGGGGCCTGGGGGGGTCTCTGCTCTCAGGCTGCCTGCCGTGGGGAAGGTCTCTGAGCTGCTGAGAGGCCTGAGCCGCAGGCTGGCTGCGTGGGAGTCCGAGGGCTGGGGCGCCTGCCTGCCCCTCTCCTCCGGCCTCTGTACGGTCCTGGGCGAGACTCTGACTTGGGAGGGGGTGTGAGACCGAGGGGAGCCCCTGCAGGTTCCCCTCCGGAACCCTCGGCCACGCGGGCATCGCCGTCTCTGCCCTGGTCTCAGCCTCCTGGTCTCGGGATGGAACGTTCCCTAAGCTTGTTTCTGTCTTTCCCTCTCACCCACCCCAGGTCTTCCATCTCTGTCTCTGGCTTTCTCTGTCTCTGCTCCTGACGTCTCTGTCTAGCTGCGTTTCTCTCCGCTTCCCTTTCCCTTCGTGCCTCGCTCACGCCCCCTCCATGTGCCAGTTCTGGGTTCTGTGCCCTCGTCCCCTTTCCCGGGCCGGCCCGGATCACCGTCTGTTTGGCCGGTCCCCGGGAGGCTGGCCCGGACGGTCCCCCGGAGACCATAGCCCTGGCCCGGCCGATGAAGAAGCCAAAAGAAGCAGTAGGGTAGACGCCCACAGGATTAGAAGAAAAACTGTCTCATATAATCCCAAACCAATTTCTTTTTTACTAGCTGTCATGTCTTGAGCTACAGGACTGTTCTATTTCCTGTAAATTAGAGGGAAAAGATAATGCCATAAGCCCTTGTGCAAATGCCTTGCCTAAAGTACGCAGCAGAGCAGATACGCTTCTTTTTTTTTTCATACTTGGTTAGATTAAAATATATCTGCACAGCCTTGG